CTATCTTTGGGTCACTTTGGACTTTTTAGTGTCAATTTTTGACTCTATCTGTGTTTATCAGAGATAATGAGTTGGCATTCTTAATTAAGACTTCCCGTACGGTTTTCACCTTAAAATCGGGGGTGTCGGATAGCCTTGAATTTCTCTTCAAGACTCGATAAAATACTTGAATACAGTCGTATTTAAGCTCCCTCTATGGCAATGAACCGTTATTTCCAATAATGACAACTCAATAAGCGATAAACATTACACGAAAGATTGAAAAATCGACTTTTTTTAGCGCTTGAAGTTTCAAAGTGAAATGCATAGATCGATTAAGAAATTATTTTACGGTAAAGAAAAGCTCCGCAACTTAAAAGGTCCGTTCTTATTAGGCACATTTACTCTATAGAGGACTGGTCTTTAGCTTTGAACATCGTGCAAAAGCTCAACTTTTACGGGAAGAATGAGTTTCAACCTTTTCTATACTTGAATGTTTAATTAAGAATTCCAATCCGTCATCCATTGATTATTCTTCACAATAGTGATCTTGTAAAAACAAGAGAATCGATGCCGACAAGAACCTAGAACGTAATTAATAGAAATATGGTCACAAGCTTTTGCACCAGATTCTTCAAAATCACTATAATTACTCTGCATTTATTTGTGATCATTAAAGTTTCGATTTTTCCTACTTCTTTCAATGGTGATCTACATACAATCGTCGATTTCATCATGTGACACGTATAACAAGAGAGAACTTAGGAAAAGAATAAAAATTTTCTTACCAACGATAGAAGATCGACAACAGCAAAATTCACATGAGCCCATGAGATAACAGTTTTCCAACGATATTTTGCGTGTAATACCCAATTTTGGAAACACTGCTCAGCTAGAACTAGAAAATTTTCTTTTTTCACCTGGAGTGGCATTAGATCAAGCTGTCCTAGAACATATTTTTGCTATTGTTGTTAGTATAGCAAACAAAATTCCGCTATGTATTATCGGTGCCTCAGGGCAATCAAAAACGCTTAGTTTTCATATTGTTTTATAAAATCTTCCAGGAACGCAACTTTCTACAAAAGTGTTTTGCACTAAGCTTCCATCAGTTGATGCTTTTTTCTGTTCGACATCTAAGTACAGTCGTTCAGAAGACATAGCTGCAATTTTTGAACGCGCTATGCGACGTGTACAACATTATGAACAATATCGAATAAATACAAGATGTGTGGTATTTTTGGATGAAAGCGGGCTACCTGATGAGAAAAAACATGGCTCTTAAAGTACTGCATTCGTATTTGGATGAATGCAAAGCTGAATTTATTGCTGTCTCAAATAAATTGTTCGATGCAGGCAATGCAAATCGTATGATGTCTGTAATCCTCTCACCACCTTCAAAGCAAGATCAGCTTACTCTAGCATTTGGATGCCCTGCAGTACAATATCCTCATAATAGTGTCGATGATCGTATAGAAAAGATCGTTAGTGGACTTTGTAAAGCATATCATCAAGTAACCTTTTACGACTGGCTGTGTTTTCAGAACACACACAATAATTGATGTAAAAATTGTTGTGAAATACTACAACTAAATTCGAATAGTTTTTCAGACTAAGATAGCCTTATGGATTATTGACCAAAAATCAAAAAGCTTTTAACTGACTTCTGAACAAAATAATTCACATTAAATTAAATATCGTAATGTCCCATTCGATGGTAAAGGGGTACTTAAATCCGAAGAGATCTTAAGTATATTCTATGATAAAGTTTTTATTTATTTGTGTCGAAAAGTAGAACTAAATAGTAGTATTTTAAATCCAAATGTTGACACAGAGAATTGGTAATCTAGTCCAGATCAAAACAATCCACATAGTATTTTTCGTTCTTTTACTTCACTCAGTTTTTATATTTTACCATTAAATCTGTGAAAAATGGATGAAGTATACAACTATGACCTAACACATCATCGAAAAAATACATATGCCTCGACAAGGAATCGAACCTCGTGTGTTCTGGTAACATGCCAGACGCTAAACCACTCAGCTACGAGACACAAGTTTATCATGTGCATTTTTTCTAGTGTAGGATTTTTATAATACATATCTCTTCTTATATACGCGCAATGTAACTATATTGACATTTGAGCCATAACTAGAGGTTCGATTCCTGTCGAGGCATATGTATTTTTTCGATGATGTGTTAGGTCATAGTTGTATACTTTATCCATTTTTCACAGGTTTAATGCTAAAATAAAAAATTCTGTAAAAGTATTTAGTTTACACTGCTCTTCTTCACCTTAAAACAGTAGTCATAGTTATGACTCAAATGTCAATGTAGTTACATTGCGGGTATATAAGAAGAGATATATATTATAAAAATCCTTCACTTAGTTTGTTATGTGCTTTGGAAAATAACTTCAGTAGTATATCTCAGGAGCAATTCAGAAAGTTAGCAGGTATTTTCTTTCAATGTATATTCGAGGAATGTGGTGTTGTTTTACCATCACTGAAAGAAACACATTATCATAATGTAATTACAGTACTGCGTGAAGCCATGCTAATCGTATCAACCGGACGACGGTTATACGGCTGGTATAAATCAATCCTTGACGAAAGTGAAGATGAGTCAGCCGCACGCTTATTACTTGAAGTCGGTACACTTAATTCAAATACTGAAGACACCGTAATATTTCCATGTCCGATTTCGAAGCAGATATTGATACTGAACTGAAGAACGTAGAGTTAGTATCAACAATTAAACTATGCATGGAAATAAGAAAAAGAGTATTAATGATTAATACCAGTCGTATACATGATGCATTGTATGATGTATTCAATCAAAATTTTAGTGTTATGACTAGTGGTGATGTATGAAAAATGTTTTCTATAGTAGCTATTGGTGCTCAAACCGTCGGTTGTGTTGCACATGAACAACTTCAGTGTATGGTCTATATAAAGCGAACCGAATTACATGAAACACTAGCGCCGTTTCTAAGTCGTTCCAAAAAGTATTCATTCGGTATTAATGACTATTTTAATATTCAGTTTCAGAAATACCGCTAGTATCACAATAGCTCTTGAGAAAGGTTGAATTAAAAGCCTTATCTTTTGTGCAGTACTTTGACAAACAGTATTTCTATGGTTTTACTGATAATACGGTTTACTCCATTGTGTTAATACTTATTAAAAGTTTAAAATCTCAGCCTGAAGCTCTCATTTTGGTATTACCATCCTTTGAAAACTCTATATCAAAGTGGGTATCCAAAGATTATTTTTGCAACCAAGACCATTTTAGTCTATATAATTTTGTTCGAGCACATATGTCATCAACAGATCAGATTGATCAATCGTTCTGGGTTCAGTCGCATAAATCTCTAAATATATCAACTAAAATAACAATATATACACGAACAACTGTCTAAGTAGATGGTTTAAATCAATGTTCAAAAATTGATTTATTCAGTGATTACAGTAAACGAACAGATATATTAAATTTGGCATTAAAGATAATGTGAAGGATTTAACAAGAGCATTATAGAGCTTTAGAGTAAACTGGGGCAATTGGAAACGATTTTATGCTCTTTGGACTTCTAATTCGTATAACTTTGTTAATTTTAATTATCGTTTTGCGCTCTTTTTACAGGTAGGTAGAGGAGGAAGTTCTCTATGAGCCCGTCTAAAAATTTTCAAAAACCTGCGTATCCTAAGCGAACTTCCCGGTGTTTTGCTGAAGGCTCTAACGAACATTTAACTTATGAATGTATTAAAAATCTTGATGAACAATCAGAACAACAAGAACAAAAACCTAATAAAATTGCACTAATATCACATAGTCTGGTCAAAAACCAAAAAAAATCACCATTTTACGCGAAACAGCTCGAAACAGGAAACAAAATTGAATTAACCGAATGGCATGTAATTAGCAGTGACATTCGACCAAAACGCCTTTTAATCAAAGAGTCCATTGCTATAAAAAGTCTACAACCTAGTCTAAATCGAACTGTTGCATCTGCACCACTATATGTATATCCCGAAGGTTTACCTAAATACTTTATTCCGGACCCGGGAGGTTACAGACAATCATCCTCACCATTTTTATGAACAATAATTTTTCGTTTTCCGACCTTTTGTTTCTAGGTAACTGCACAGAACATACAACTGACCTGAAATAATACTTGTAATTTCGTTTCAATAAGTACAAACCTGAGAATAATCTCGTTAAATTGACTGATTTTGGTCTTACTCAACATAGTTCTATATATGTGTCAGTGAACAACGCATCAGCGGTAAATGATTGCATTCCAATACGTTATGCATCACCAGAATTAATTCAACATCAGGAATGTTCTGAAAAATCAGACATTTTTTCGATGGGTGTAACTATGTGGGAAGCCTTTTCAAAAGCAACAATACCATGGTCAAACATTGAGACGGATGAAGAAGTTTGTCAACGCGTGACCTCGGGTGAAACATTATCAAAACCTGATGAAACATGGATCGTGATCTTGACTACTATGGCTTTTAATGCCCAAGAACGACCAACATTTTCTCAATTGAGACGTTCACCAATCAGACTACAATACCAACTTGAAAATCTAACCCATAGCCATTTCGAATTAATGAACAAATTTCAAAAATTGCTTCATGTTGACATGAATGAAGTTGTGATAGGTATAGCTGTCGAGCAAACTCTCGTAAATTTAAATGGATTAAACATTGATCAAACAGGTGCAACGTTTCGACGCATACCTGACACTAATATTACAGTATTTCGTTTGAGAATTCCTGATGATAATGATTTAAAGACTTTTACCAAGTACCATAGCGAACACTTCAAAAATTTTATAATACGACATGAGCGAGAACCAACACGGGATGGGTTAAAATACTAATGAACACAAATATATTGTATAACCACATGACGTTCATTATTACTAGTAACAGATAGTACTATTTTTTCCAAGAATTCTACACAAAACACGATCTAAACTACTCTGGTGATAGTGGTGGAGTTCGCTGATTTTAACAGTTCTTTTTTTGAAACTCTTAGCTACATAACTTCTATTTATCATATGACGGAACTACAGATTTACTGGGTAAGAATACCACAGTGGATTTCTTTTAAAGAACGGGGGCGCATAATAGCCATTTTTAGACCATCCTCAAATTTGGTTGGTTCTCGGTTTATTAGACGCAGAATTTCGCGAGGAATCGTTTAGTGACCAAATAAAGCTATTTTCGAAGAGTTTTGATGGAATTTTGCTTTAAATACTGTCAGTATCTTTTCTACCATATATACATGATCCACACAAAAAAGGATTAGTTAGTTAGTTAGACCCGCTACCATTTCTGGTGTAGGGTGAGAATAAAACATCAGGAAAAAAATAACACAAAAAGAAAAGAGTGTTCAATTTGACGGAAGTAGTGTTCGTTTCTATTGAAAATT